GAAAAAAAAGCAAAAAAAGGTAAACCAACCTGCTGCACACCAGAAAATCGGCCATTAAGTCTAGGGTGGACGCTAGCAAGGTGACCACAGGCCACAACCATCACTGGAGGTGCCCATTCTAGACCTCCGCTGAAACAAACTCATGTCGTGTGATGACAACGCCCTAACAAAATTAGTAGTTGCTTGTTTGCTTGTTCAATTTTTATTCAATCAGACTGTCCTGTCAATGATTTTTTTAACATTTATTTTATACCAGGCTATTCTTTTACTTACACCCGACGGTTTACTGGAAATCTTAACAAAAATAGATTCAAGAAGAAAGTAAAGCTCGTTCTGCAGTCAGAATTTCACTGCTTTTTCATCACGAAAGGACCAAACGAGTCTTTATGGCGCATATAGAGGTATGAGAATATTTACAGTCCTCGTCATTGCAGACCGGTGGGGCGGGTGAGCCGCGCTGCGTGTGACTCGGCTGTGAGGCATTGTTCACACTCTGCGGTCCAGCGTTTCTCTGAAACGCGGCGGTTCGGCGAAAAGCTTTCGATACATATCGACTGGCGGTTGGGCGAAGAGCCTGGCGGTTGGGCGAAAGGGTTTTGGTACGTATCGACGGGCGTTTCGCCAAACCGCGACGTTTTTCGCCTTCGACAAAACGCTAGCTCCATCGCGGTGGCGTTTTTCGCCAGCGAAATCGATACACATCTACTGCTTTTCGCCCAACCGCGGCGGTTGGACGGTTGGGCGGTTGGGCGATTCTCCGATCGATGACTATTTTTTGCTTTTCTCCCAACCGCCGTTTCGTCAGGGCCTGGAGACTGTGAACAATGCCTGACGCGGCAGCGATGACAGTCGCGTCACAGCCGAGTCACACGCGGCGCGGCTCACCCGCCCCACCGGTCTGCAATGATGAGCACCATATAAGGACATTTGTAGGGGTATCCCATCGACACGGTTTTCTTTTGATTGATCCCCGCAGCCATGGATTAGCCATACCTATGTTCCCTACCCCAAAACCCTTTCTGCTAGTAAACAGTTCCCTTAGACACATTTGCTTTGCTGATAGATGTTTGCAGAAGCAAATCGGTGAGTGTTTTTCAGTATTGTGTGGTTCTTTTTCCGCACTCTATAGTACATGACGACGGCATTTCATCGAGCATTGCTGTTGCTGATGGATATCGCTTGCTGACCGCATCTGCGTGCTGTTGTTGAGGAGAAAGGACGAGGTATAAGTGAGAGAGGAACAAACACAGCAAGCGAGCACAACTGTTTCGAGCGTCGTTCTCATATCATTAACAATCAATCGATATTTGTCTCAAAATGACATCACAGAATAAAAAACTGATGAAAAATTGCGCTGTCATTTAACTTGAGAAAGCTGACTGAAGAGAGTCAGGTAAGATGATAGTGCTGTAACGCGTTGGCGCATTACTAAACAGAAAAACTTGTTCTGTAGGAAAATGAATATCAGCTGAAAATTTCCTGAACTATTCAGAAACGTCTGGTAACTTATAAGAACAACTGCGCATCTGCTGCATATTTCCAGAACAATCTGCTTTCAATAAACGTTCTTGAGGTGTTCCGGTTTACAAAGTTCCGGCAGTTACACATCGTCTGTTACAAAATTTCAGCAGCAGGATAGTGCAATGTGCGGGAGAATTGATACATTGCGTGCTATGATTTGGGCCAAAACTGACGTAACCAGTAACCCTCTGACTTGTTTTCATGATAGCAAGCACCATAGAAATATGGAATGGATGAGTGAATATGCCCTAGTGAGCGATAATATATTATTAATTAATGAATAAGAACACGCACTTTTTGGCGTGGAAGTTCTGTTTTTTGACCTGAAATACACTCCACACCCTGGCGATAGAATGGGCGTGGCTGTGTACTTCATTTAGACGTTCTGACTGCTTCATGTCTGATAGACTATCACCATCCCACGAAAAACGCTTCCTACTGCATGTTCAAAATGCTCGGCCACGCCCCAAAGAGTCCAACTTCGGGATATGAATGTACTTACCATAACCTAAAATGGCGCTTCCAATAATGTGCAAAGTAGTACCTAAGGTTCAGATCCATCTATTAGTGCCACTCCCCGGACCTGCACCCCCTCACTTCTCTTTTCTGCCACTCTTGCTCAAGCCTGATGGCTGCCAGGGCTAAAATGAGCGAGTTGCGAAAGGGTCATGATCTAGCTACTGGACGATACCCATGATACTAATGCTTCAGAGCTGGAAGCGATAGCCTTGGAGACAGAGTGAGCTCTAAATGCC